CCCCCCCCCCCCCCCCAAGCCGTTCCTGCGACTTTTGCACAACCTCTTCTGCACCCACATGCAAAACAAAAACAAAACGCGCGGGCCCCTGCCGACACCACGGCTGTGTGTCGGAGTCTGTTCGGTGGTCTGCGACGGTGTTCTTGCCACATGCTACAAGTAGGCATATCTATTGGTTCTTGTCCTCACACCGAGCTCCTGGTCCCCTCGGTCTTGAGGGTCTGCTTGGCTTGCTGCCCGCCTGCTGCGCGCACGTCGGCCTGTACGTAGCCGGCAGTGGTCATGTTTCACGACGGATCGTTTTTGTGCCAAACACTTCACCCCGCCTTTTAAGGCTGGCGGGAGCCCCTCCTGTTCTGTCCGAGTGGCCGTCCCGACGTAGGTTATACCTCGAAGTACAGACATTCCGTTGACGTTGTGAGCTACATAGCTTGTGCTCTCCCTTGTGCGTCGTGGCCGAGAGTCTAGCGGGATTCATTATGTTTGAGCTCTGGTGCAGGCAACGAGGCTGGGAAGGGGGTTAGTCCTCGTCTGGTGTACTGCTGTGCTTCAGAGGCAGTTAACGCTTCAGAATTGCTTCGCTGATGCGCGGAAAATGTCACCATGTTGCGGTCTTCACCTCCACAAACCGTTCTCGGTCTGTGTTCAGACAGTATACTAGCCGTTACATTTATGGTCTGTGAACTGAAGGAACTGCGTTGGTTGCGGCTACCCTTTGTGTTCTACACGCACGTTGCAGCGTGATGTGTAGCCAATCCGGCCAAACAGAAGCCAACAACATGTCAAGAGATGCTCGGTTTTGCAGGGCCTCGGTAAATGCCGGCCTGTAGTTGACAACCCGGGGAACACCCGGCTCTGCTGTGCGCCGCTGCAAACCCAAACCGCATGACCATCGCTTTTAACAACTATGATACTACCGTTGCTGCTGCTGCTGCTGCATGCAGGCGGTTGTGTTTCTCTTCCGATTCGGGCATGACGGGAGCAGCATGGTGGTCACCATGGCCGACGCGGAGAGGGTGCTCGACACGGCGAGCAAGACGAGGCTGTGCCGACGGGACCCCGAGTTGCTTCTCGAGATCTTCATGGAGAACTGCGGTGCTGGTGAGAAGCACAGGAGGGGGGGGGGG